GGAAGATGCAGTGACGCAAGGACACATGAGGGACATATGAAAAACTGAAAGTTATCATAAAGTTCCCATATGTTTGTTTGTTTTCTTTTTAGATGTCGCTTTCTTGGGCTTGGACTGAGAGGGGGTTGGAGGGATGTTCATAGGTATAGCAAGGTCGTATGATACAGGGTAGTTGAAAAGCCCTTCAAGATCCTTCAAGCGTTCAAAGATCTTTCGTGAACCTTTTGTGATTCTGTGCGGTTTCGTCAATGTTTCGTCTATGTTGCCTTTCACGAGCAGGGTTTGGGGTTTGCCGGGGATCTATATATTTGCGGATGAATGAAGCTTAAGAATTTTCATGAGTTTCCCATAGCATGGTGGTTTGGTGCAGCTGCAATCCAATGACCCTTTTGAACAGCGAACAGGTTCATTGAAGGAGACATGCTCTTTGGAATCTGTGGACATGTCGATTAAGATGGGCACTTTATGGATTTATGGTTCACAGTCATCATTCAGTGAGGCTACAGGGTAGGATGTTTAAATGTTGGTGTTCTCGATCGGCTGGAGAATTGGTATTCTATATTTTCCTATGGTTTCCTTGCATGGGATCCTTCTCACTCGCTGTTCATTCACAAAAACAATTCTAGGCTCCAAGGAACCTAGCAGTGATGGCCTCCAACCTACTAGCGATGCCCTTGTTCTAGCTACTAGTAGCCTTGTTCCTTGCTATGACCTCGTCTCCAAAAACGAGTCTCGTCTCCGCGTCGCTTCAGGAGACGGTCGGTAAGCTGGACATTAACCTCGACTCCACGGGCCATGAATTCAAAGTCGAACGGGGGAGACACTCAGTTCCTTGACGGGAAAGGAGTAGCAGACAGGAATTCCGGAAGAGTTTGCTTGAGCTGTGAATAGCAAGATGTTTGCTGTGAATATGCTGTCGCTGGATGTTCAGAGTCCCTGTTGCGTTCGTTGCATGCTGGTGTCACATGAAGTCATCATACATGGAACCCGGCTGACAGGTGTACATCAGAGAAACAGACATCCCGACATCTTTCGCAGAAAGCCGGGACTGGTTTGAGCTTTTCTTTGATGACGTTTTTGCTCCACCCAAGCTCTTCAACCTGGTGATCCAGTGGCTTGTGACTCGACTCAAGAACTCAGACACAGGTATTGATTTTGTTGTTCAAAGTGAACCAACATGTCGCCCGCAGACTCCATGCAGGTCAATACTCCCTACATTGGAGTGTTTGGGAGCTGTACCAGCTCCAACAAGTTTCCTCGTTCCATGTTGGTTTCAAGTAATACTGACCTCTTGGGGAATTGGTACTCCGGTCGATACGAACTGCGAAGTGCGCAGATGGCATGCCCTCGTCAGCGCATCATCTCCGCATAGGTGTGCTCATCGGTTCACATGGTGCACTTCGTCTCTTGCCTCTTCCGGATTGCAGAGAAGCATGGTTTCAGCCACTGAATCGCATTTCAGAGTCGGCACGATCTTTCATCGCACCTCAGACGGACGGATCACGGCCTTTTCCGGTTTTCGACCATCTCAAGAAACGATAGGAGAGCGAAGAGCAAAGTGATGAGGGACGGTGTGTGATTGACATGTGTTTTCAAGGACTTAGTCCAGAGTTGCAAAACTATAAATAATGTCGTGTTCACAGCTCACATGTGCCAACTCCCCGAGGTTTGATCCGCTTGCCCATTGCCCAGTTGTTTCCACCTCCGGCACCCCACTGGGTGTGGGGTAGTGATCGAGAGACTGACTTGGATCGCTTGGCCCTGTATCCCAGGCGCGAGCCGCGGACGGCGGATCTTTTTGAGCCCGTTTTGGATGGGGATATGGTAGTGTTCCGTCAGCTTATCAGCCTGGGACCTAGGATGAAGTGAAGAGATGGCAAGGTTACACCTAAAACGTCATCCAAACGAAACATTGTGAAGTTTTCTTTACAGGTCAGGTTCACTGCATAGCACCAGGTCTTTGACGATTGAAGGTGTGGTGCAATGAATAGACTGATGGTGTGAGTAGCAATATGCGCTGAACCTAGGGCGGGAACGAAGCACTTGAAACTCAGAAGTACTGTATAATATGTAGAAGCACCAGCGAACCCCAGGTCTTCATTGTCACGTGTTCTATGAATCATGAATCCCTCCCGGCAAAAAGGACGAGCCTAAGCACCACATACTGGATATGGTGGTATGTAATGTAGATGTATAGAAACAATAAGCTACTAGGAACAAGTGCATCGCTTCTAGTAACAAGTGCCTTACTAGTAGTAACAAGAAGCTATTAGAAACAAGATCATATAGCTATAGGTTTACAGAAACAAGCTATAGATGTAGATATGTGTCCACCAGATTTGCTGGATCGAGACATCATCCATCATCATCCGATCTTTGGTTCCTTTTGTTGTGCCGAATGGGCTCAGGCGGAAGATTTCTCTTCCCAACGATCCCCGGATCTTTGAAGAGCTCTTGCGCTGTTGGTTGGCTCCACCTTTGGAATTCCATTTCGTCTATGCGACCCAGAAGGCAGACATGCCGGCGTGGGTCATTGCGGGTGGCCCAAGAAACCACCGGGGGGCTTGATGCGTGAGAGAAAGAATTGGAAAGAGAGAGAGAGAGAGAGAGTAATAAAAGACGATGAAAGAAGTCGTCCCATCATTCGACCATGTTGTACACCTTGGCGGATGGAGTCATGCCACAGTGCCACACGGATGGGTCCGATGTCCAGAGAGCGGACCGGACCGTGTCGCACGACCGGTCGACCGGTTTCACTTCGACCGGTCGACCTGTCGGACGAGGTGTTGCTTCGTTCGCGAAAGAACGGTGATGTCACTCCGTTCGAAGGGCGAAACTCGGTGATGTCACTCCCTCTTGGGTGATGAACGGAGAAGCCTTCGGGGGGGGGGAGGCGAGCCTTCGCCGCTCCGTGAAGCTGAGCTCCGTGGTGTGAGGTGGCCTTCCAAGTGGAGGATGTGAAAGAATTGAAGACGCCATTGAAAGAGAAGAGGCATGATCTCTTCCAAAGGCCGGTCACAAATGGTCACAGGGTAGCGGTGAGGAGGAAACCATGGGAGGCGGAAGCCTGCTGGGACCAAGATCCAGTGCATTCAGAACCATGAGCTGGCCCTAAAACCACGAAAGTTGATAGATGGTGGCCATGGTGGGTGTCCATTTCCATCAACCACTGCAGTTCTCCCTCCAGGTTGCCCAGGTCTCTTTAGAAGCCCTGTGAGGCTGAAGGGCTGGATCTTGTGCGATGCGGATGGGCTATGTTTGGTGGCACTTCGCGAGACGGCGGCCTATTTCTATGAGAACCGCTTGCTCTTCTCAGCTGCTTAGTTCTCAGCTGCTTAAGCGGAGGAGGTTTGTTCTCCGTTGATTTTTGTTGGGACTTCGCTGACTGTGAATCAATTGCAGGCAGGTCATGTTTGGCGTAGCTTGTAGCTTCAAGCAGTTGAGAACATTGTAAAACTAGGTTGCACTCAAGGTGGGCGGTTGAAGCATGCCACATATACCTGATGTTTGCAACACGGTTTTGTTCAGGGTGAATTATATAGATACTGTAAGTTTATATAGTCCTTCTCCAGAAGTAGATCGCTCCAACAAAAGCATAGCAAGACTCATTTGGGAACTGAAAAGTGATATGCTTCGGAAGGTCGTGCCTTGCTTTTGACATGATCGAGGAAAACTATAAAATGCAGAAGGACAACTGCACATTGTTGACAACCAGGTCCTTTATATTCTAAAAAGAGCCAGTGATTTAAAGCCCAGGATTGTTTCGTTCTTGAACCAGCCAAGAAGCCACGATCTTGCGTTCATGTTTGATTCTTCACGTTGAGGATGTGCGCGATCCACGCTTGCACGAGGAGAAGTTACAACGGATTGAGGCATGGTGGATCGTGGAGAACAGGTTTGTCCCATGGATGTTCTACAATAAGCAGCATGCTGCACGCACCATCAATCGCCCACGATTAATGTGAATATACTGTATGTGAATCAATGAATAACGATTTACTGTGTGATATATATATATAATACATATTAGAAAAACATATCGATATGTATTACTACTGTATAGAAATACAACTATATATATATAATATGATTATATATGTGCATGTTGGAATGACATCGAATCTCTTGCAGCCTGATATGGATCCAAGCTTGCCACGACACCCCTACTCAGGGTGCCTGTTCGAGTTCGGGGCAGTCCAGACAGTATAGCTTCTGAGTAGATCCTGAAGAAGTTCGAGATCCAGTTACAGTGGTTTCAGAGTACATGGCACAGCCCCCTATGGTGGTTTATATGGATATATTGGGTTTTGTGCCATCTACTCTGACACCCTTTGTTTTCAGCAGCCTGGTCAGTGAGTACGAGCAAATCCTAGCGATCCCCAGCCGATCCTTCTTCGATCAGGCCCTGCGGTGTCGCTTCTACCAAGCGACCGACCAAGTCTTGGCGGGCGCAAAAAACACCTGACGGCCGACCAACGAGTGAAACACCGCGGCACATGCCGGTCGGGTCCGGAATCGGGTGCCCAAGCGAAACCTGGCGCCCATACAGGTTCCTCAGGATCGGGCGAAGAAACGCCGGGAGATCGTTGGACGCAGATTGGTTTGCAGATGCCGATGTGCACGGACTCCGTGCAAGGAGACCTGGCGCCGAGAAGTGTGAAGGCGGGGGCCGGGTTGAAAGCCAGAGGACGATGAGAATGCACAACACAGCCCAGCTCCAGTGATGCGATGTGGCATGATGTGTGTGGTTTGTTCAGAGAACTTTCGACGTCACGCTCGAGTGAATAATATATATATATGTATAATTATATAATTATATAGATATAAGTCTGAGTTGCAGTGTTTGCCAAAGTAATGGAGTTGCGACTTGCTTTGGCTCCATCTTCTGTTCATGGAAAGCTGTGTTTTGTGCTCGCACTGCTTTGTGCTCGCAGCATTTTGTGCTCGCACTGCTCGCCTCAGCAACCGGGTTTTTGGCTTCTCAGTGACACAACGCTCCCATGGCGGCCATGGTGATCCGTGTATTGCTGGTGAGTTTTGTGATGGCCAGTGCCACGCCAAGGCCGGGGCCTCAAAAGCCTGATTCATGTGGCCGGGGTGTGTTTTCTGGGTGTCCTCGCAGTGTCGCAGCTCAGGCTTTCTCCATGCGTACCAGCTGAAGGATCCTGCAACCCCTCCCTGGATCGTTGCTGCCAAGGTCCAGGGTCCGGGCCTCAGCAGGGTCCGGGGGCGGCTACTAGGCATCCAGCCATCGAACTCATCGGGTGAAATTACCTATGGGTGAATCCCTTTTGGATCCTTTTGGAGAATAATTGTGATGTTCTTTTTCCTGGCTCCTTAAGCAAATCGAAGTATGGGTTTACCCTGTGTGGATTTGGCTTCCCTACTAAGATCTACTCTGGTACTACTAGTCTTAGTAGGCCCTTTTCCTGGCCTACCCCGAACCCTTCCTCCCTTAACCCAATCATACCCAACCTACTGTTTAAAATGGGTGTCCTAACCACCAAAACCTCAATTCTGTTCATGTCCTGATCTGCTAGCTTCCCTGCCCTCTCTTTATTACACCTTTGTCCACCTCCGTGTTTTCAGCCGGTGCGGGTCTCCTTTCTTCCCTCCTTCTACTTTAGGGTCCTCGATTTGCATCTGGATGCTTCTGGAAGATTTTGGGATCTCTGGGGTAGTGATTCCGCTGATGAAAATTAGATGCTCAATTAGAAGGACTTACGTGGCAGACAGCTTAAAGGGATGTTTTCCTTGCTTAGGTGAATAAAAATAGAATTCGAGGATGTTGACTGGGTTGTTCAATTTATAGGTTATCCGTGGAGGTTGGGAGCAGCATTTGTATCCATAAATTGGCTTGCTCCATAAATTATAGTTGAAACACAGGTCATCACAATTCCTCACAAATGTCTTTCCTGGTGTTGGACTGTTCGGCTTGGCCTGCTTCAAAGAAGCTCAAGGATCACCTCAAGTGATATCGTTTTAGTTCAGGTCATGTTGAAGCTTTGAGCTGGAAGTCCTTCACAAGTCAATTGGATCTTGATTCAAGAAACCCTGTACTCTATGGCTCCACCAGCCCAGAAGTCGGATCTTCCTATCCCATCTCGTCGCAACTCGATTTCCACTTCGACTCACGTGACCAAAAATATCGACAGGTTGATGACTTGCCGCCTGCGCTCGAACACCAAAGATGCTGGGATGTCCTACAAGTCTCCTGGCCCGTTGGGTCAAAAGCTGCACCAGTTGGGTCGACGATGTCCGGGTCGATGACCCCGTCCACCGATGTGGAACAGCGATGTCGGCGATGTCAGTCGCTCGCTCTCAGGGTGAAAGAGCACATGTAGTGACATCGCTCCCAACCTGCTTGCGTACCGACGTCGAAATCATGTCTGCAATATAGAATCATATAGAATCTATCAGAAATATATGAGAACATCGTGTTGTACCCTTACCCGTCCCTTCACTCCACATGTCACTTCATGTGCTTTGGTACCGCGTCCCACCGCGTCGCGGTCCTAGGTGCGGTGCCGAGTTCACACATCAGGCAGTGTCGCAGCCCAAGTGCATTCCTGAAGGTCCGCAGTGGTGAAGGGCACCTTTTGGTGCTGGCCTTTTCCATTTTTGTTGGGGTGGTTGGAAGCTCGTGGGTTGAGACATGGGTGGGTGGGTTGGGAGATGTTGGGAGCTCCAGGTTGGACATGGTTGTGAACACTCTTCCAGGTTGTTCTTCGCTACAGATTGGACCAAAGGACGGTTGGGGAAACTCGAGCAGGTATGTAGGTCCCTGATCACAGGGTCAGTAATTTGGGAAGATGAGCAGGTTGAACCGTCCAGCGGATTTTTTTCGTTCTTCCGTGTTCTTCCTGTTAGGAACTGTTAGTGATACTCCTCGTTAGATGCGCTTGAAGCACTGAAGCCACTTGGTCGCCATCGTTGAAGTCGCCATCGGGCTGAAATGCAGCTTGGTACCTCGGTCTGGCCTGTCAGGAGATTTTTGCGATACTGACAGCAGAACATGTTGCCAACTGGAAGACAAGATGCCTCTCAAGTGCATCAAGCCCGAGCACGAGAAGGCCGACTCTACAGGCTGGGCCGAATTCGAAGCATGACAGGGAAGTGGTGACATGAAAGCATGCCATCATGCCTTAGTCTTCTGGTGGTAGTGTGACGTGGTGACTAGTAGTAACAAGAAGCTACTAGTAACAAGTGCCACGCTAGTAGTAAACAGGTGCCTTACTAGTAGTAACAAGAAGCTGCTAGTAACAAGTGCCACGCTAGTAGTAACAGGTGCCTTACTAGTAGTAACAAGAAGCTGCTAGTAACAAGTGCCACGCTAGTAGTAACAGGTGCCTTACTAGTAGTAACAAGAAGCTATTAGAAACAAGTCGTGATGTCTCCAAAGTCCATCACAGGAGAGGTGCGTCCGAAGTGCCTGGCGGAAGCTGAGACCTTCAGCGTCGAAGCCTGCGTGGAAGAGGGATCCAGTTGCAGTCCATTGCAGAACCGCTGCTGCCAGGGGCAAGAGAGGAGCTTCCAGCAGGCCTCGGTTTGGGGCCCTTCATTCAAAGCGGAAAGACATCAATTACCTGACACCGCCCGGGGTTCGAAACATGTAGAAACCGATAGGGGTGTCCCCTTTGGATGTTCATCATTGTCCCAATGTTCTTCAAGAACAATATGTCCATGGGAAGAAATGAGAAGTACGTTGTGATGCCGAGCTGAGAATTTTGGTTTGACCCACCTGGAATCCACATGGCTATATCCTTTGTAAAATCGGGTAGGAGGCTACGTGCACATTGAGATTCACGCTAGATCACCTTATCTAAGCAGTGCAGAACTGCATGCAACAGGTGTTCCTTGATTTCAGGTGTCGCTCACGAGTGCTCGACGGTCCGCGCACCGACTCACCAGGCCCTGCGCACCTGCCAGCTCCGCTTCTCGGTTCGCCCTGGCGTTCACAGCCCCGCATATATCTGCAGCAAGGAGTTTGTTGAGGTGAACGACCCGGTGGTGCCATGAGGGCCATGAGGGTCGAGGGTGCGCGAGACCTGGGACAATCGATGACTTGGTGGTGTTTGGATAGGAAAATAGCCTCAAAAGCCACAAAGAGACCATCTTGAAACGCGAAGTGTTGACCGTCCCACAACAGTTTTCCAAGGCCAAACTCTTCCGCAATCTCCATGCTCTTCAGAAGTAACCTCTGTGTTTGTAAGACCCTACTGCCTGTAGGAATAACCAGCAGTTTGATGGAGCATGGATGGCCGGAATTGAGGCGGTCGGGCATTAGGCAGAGCGTGGCGTTGCGCAGTGGGACAGGGAAAGCTGCGCAGCAACCGACCGGGCCATCCAGAAACACAGCGTTGGATACTACAGAAGTTTTAATGGTCGGGAGGCAGCCACAAAGAAAGGGCTGATCCAGCCAGTACTTCAGTCTGGTTGGCAAGCCAGAACCATTTCAGCTGAAAGATGAGCACAAGTAATTTTTTGACACGTCCGTTGCATGGTTTCATGAACTGCATATCGTAGTCTGAAATGCTTGCCCCTGGCTTGAACTGAACATGCTGTCGGCTGGCATAGCATAGCACAGTGGGCAGCAACAGTGCCATGACATCCATGACTGATATGCGTGCATTTTGTAGAGGTGGGGTCAAAGCATGACTGATATGCATATGATATACTGAAAACGTTTCGTCGTTTGATTCTTATCCACCGATTTGTCGAGCAACATGTTTGTTGGACTGGGCTTAAGTTTACCCCACAATCTATCTTATAGGCTTGACGAGCTGGGCACCTGTGTATTAGCCAGGCAGCAAGGGGCTGCAGATCTGTGGAAGCAAGAGTTTTCCACCCCAGCAACACGACTGGGCTCACTGACGCAGCGCCTTGCACTTCAAAAAAGAAACGAGCAAGCGGCCTAAGAAGACCAAAGTTGAAACATGTTGAAACCGTTGAAACGTTACTAGGAACAAGTGCATCGCTTCTAGTAACAAGTGCCTTACTAGTAGTAACAAGAAGCTACTAGGAACAAGTGCCACGCTAATATACTCAATATACTTGTACGTACCAAGATCCTCCAATGCACCAGAAAATGATTGACCCACAAGGGCCGAACAACCCACAGGACACCTGGCTGTGGACCTTGGGTGACTTGTTTAAAAAGTTTTAACAACTTCTTCATGTAGTAGAAGTATGATGAAGTATGTAGTTTCATATAGTTCATTCTGTCAATGGTGTTCTTTCTTTCCAAGGAAAAACATGTCCTTGGATTTATCCATGATTTACATATCCATGACCCAGCCATGACCGGTCTCAGCGAACATGGCGTTGCTTTTCGCGGAGGGTTCGCTGACTTCAGGTGTCCCGCCAGCCGGGGCCCCGGGGATTTGCCAGTGCAGAGAGGTGGTGCCGGACAGTTCCATGTCGTGTGGATATCATATAATATGAAATAATGCTTCATTCTGCCAAACATGTTAAACGATGACTTGAGATCATCTTGAGGTGTTCATTCTGAAATACTTTGGGCAAGATTAAGCTCATTTTGCTCCTGGATGATTTTGAATGCCTTTTCTATCCTTTTCTTCATCTTGAGGTTTTTCAACCTGCCTGCGGACGCAAATGAGCCTCCAGTGGTCATCAAAGAGGAGTTTTGCCCCTCTCAGCACATAGCCTGAATTGCGCGTGCAAACAAGCAATGAAGAATCCAGTTTCGTGATGAAGGTGTCTATACCAATCTATCCCCCATTATATCCCATCTAGTTTCTTTGGTTTCAGTGGAAGTACCCTTGTTTTGTTCAACGGCCCTGCTGACCTGGTGCAGGATTATACCTTGGCTGCGGCCTTCAGTGGATTGGGCCTTGTGCTTTGTACGTTGCCTTTCTTTGGGTTCCTTGGAATCTCATGCCGATGTCTTTTCGCCCGCGTGGAAGGGTGGAAACATCTGGTGGATATGGTGGCTGTTTCCAAAGCAGGCGTTTGGGAGGTGGATTGGGTTTCTTCTCGGGAGTTCGGCTTCTATGTGTGTCTCCAGCTTCTTGAGCTCCTGGAACTGGTCTTCCCAAAGTCTGCTGACCTACCGGAGGAAGTTTCTTGGAGTTCGGATTTGTTGGAATGGTGAAGATCTCAAACAGACAATGCAACGATCATTGTGAGTGACATACAACGAACGCGTTCTTTCGAGTGGTCCGATTTGCATCATTGAGGGCTAGGAGAGTGATGGATTTACTATAAGGTTCTGATGGATAGTCGTGTGAAATGAGACATCCAAGGCTTGTGACATCACATCTTCCAAGACCCGAGAATTGTGCTAGGGACCTGAATTTGAGCTACATATTCCATTTTGCTTAATTTTAATGCTGTCTCTTTGCATGACGGTGGGGTAAGGAGGATGGCCGCCGGGATGGCCTATTTGATCTCTCTCTCTCTCTCTGTCTCTCTGCTCAAAAATAGTTATAGTAAACGTCTTAATGGATAGAAAAGTCAATGTGTGCTTTTGGATTGATCGGACAGTTGGTTCGGAATGTTCATTTCAGGGTCGATTGAATTTATGTATATATATTATATATATAGTCTCTCGGTTGATCCGGAAAGTGGTTCTACCATATAATCACAAAAGTGTTTCTACCAAGAATTGTCCAATCCATATCCTAAATACAGGTCGACTGCATGAATCCTGCTTTTCTCCTAAATGCATTTCTCAAACTGGCCACTCGACCAACGGAGCTTTGGCTGAGGTTTGGATTGGGCCTTCTAGTCCTTCTTCTTGGCGTGCTCTTTTTCGTGCTCCCAGCGAGAGTTCTCGGGTTCTCGGCTGTGCATCTAGGCCGCTACAACTTCAGCTACCAACAACAGTCAGCACCAGTAACGTTCCACAGATGAAAAGAGTGGTACAGATCAGGACAGCTGCTTGTACCAGCAAGAAACGCATGAATGATCATGAAGGAATCGAACATCGTCTATCCGATCCCAGGGATTATTGGGGATATGATACATGCATCATCTACTTCCCAGTTTTTGGTGGTGGTCTCTCTATGATACTGGTAGTGTGTGGCCTCGAGGTAAAAAAGCTCCGTGTCGTTTAGGAGGTGCTTTTTCCCTCCCCTGCAGTCTCTTCACAAAGCTATCAGAAGAGAGTCTCCAGCAGCGCAACACATAGCACCTCTCCAGCATGAGTCATGCTATATCAGCCCAATGTTTTGTATGCAGTATATATATATATATTGGCATATACTAATTGACATATACAAGCCGAGCCTTTTTCGCGTCGCCTTGGCAATGTGCACCCGCAGGTCCAAGCGGGCCGAGTGCGCTTCGTCTTCGACAACGAGGTGGGAGGGGATTGTGAATCGGCAAACGCACGGCACATGGCAGCTGTGCGAAGTGAGATGGAGAATACCACCGAACTGCCTGAAGCATCAGATGAAAAAGCTGCATTGTTTGTAGAACAGGCGTTTCATATGCATATGGATCATGTTTGGGACATGTTTAGGTTGATTCCATATTTGGGGGCTTGGAAACGACACCTGTGAACAAGAAAGCAATAAGAACAAGAATCAATGCCTGAACAACACCTGTGATTTGTCACTACTAGCTTATGCGTAAACCCTGTGTGTTTTGGTCATGGGTTAGTAAGGCTTCTCCAGCTTAAGTTTCTACCTGTTGAGGCTCAAATCCAACAAATGGGTTCACGGCTGGAGGCAGCCACTGCGTCCTGCAAGCAATGTGGACGTGCGTGGTGTCACCGATCACAGACGAGAAAGCAGTAGGTTTGTGATAGTCTGTAGAGTTGTTCTGGAAAAGTAGGCGAACCTCTCCTGAGGTATTCTGTGGTATCCCCAATCCCCAAGTGCAAGATTTACTCTGCGAAGAGTTGGGGAGGTGAGGCCAGTCTTTGGAAAGGGAACGGGGGTCACGATGCAAAGTGTGTTTTGCATTTGTGTGGGTCAAAGAGAAAGAATGACAAAGACCCACCCCTGGTTGAGGATTCGGCGGATGAAGATTCTGAGAAGAAACAAACCACCACTCCCAAACAGCCATGAAACGAAAAACACACATTTGCCGCCCACCCTGGGTGCGAGTGTTATCGGCTTCGCACACCACGGCTCCGCGAGGCCTTCGCGGTCCAAACCCTAAGCACCGGAGAGGAGCTCGAGAAGCCAGGCACCGTGAGGGGCGCGCGCGCGATAGTCGTGGGATTTCGTGGGTCTTCTGGACTTGTAGAGCGACTTCCTCGAAGAGGACGGGGCATGCATTAATTCATGATTGTCTTGTTTGTTTTTATATGTTTGCTTGGATCAAGCAGGATTGTGGTGGGAGCCGAGTACAGTCATGTATAACAGTTGACAGGTGATGGTATGGTGATGGTCAGCAACACCAGGTTTTGTTGTTATTTTCTCTCCAACTGTATGTTGCTTGCAATGGCTGGGATCTTGATCAGGACTTTGTTGCACTGGCTTTGCTTGAACTCCCAGGATGTGAAGATTGATCGAATTTCAACAAACGGAAACAACCGGAGACTCTGCAACCCAACGTATTTTTCGGATGAAGATCCTTGTGTGCACAGCTCTTCTATCGAGGGCAATTGACTTGGTGATGAACCACAAACCATCACAAGTACCACCACACAACATCAGTGAGTTGCTGCTTCTCTTTGAGCATCGTGCCTTATCATGATAGAGGGAACAGTGTTTTCCAACTCGCCCCAAGGCCACATACGAAGATAGCATTTGTGGAGGATTGAGTACATTCCCAAATTAACTACAGTATATCTATATAATATATAAATCATCATGGGTGTGGCAAAAACACCCGTTTGACAGCTGTTTGTATTCGGAACATGGCTATCCAAGGGGTCCCACAAAACCGTGACGATTCCTGGGAGGTTGCATGCTTCTCGCATCCTGTTGGGCTTGGACCAACACTCAGCCCTGGTACCACGAGCAATCCAGTTGGGCGTGTTCAATCAGTACCTCCAGGTTGAGGTACCCCTTGTTGTATGATACTAAGATTATATATGACTCCCACATCTGTTGTCAGAATGGTCTTGGGGTGCTGTTTGTAACAGTGACCGCACCAAATGGCAATCCATCACGCATTGCAGGCGAAAACATCGTTGTGGGTGGTGAAAACCGCTGGAAGTATTCCAGCTTCGTACCTTTCCTGCATTGGAGGTCGAAATGATTGACTCAGTCATCAGGGTGGATATATCACGGGTAGTAGCTCCACATTGCTCCCTCCCAACTATGCAGCTTAGTAGGTTGTACCGTGGATACACAGACCCTATTCCTGCACCATACCAGTGACTGCTATGAGATTGCACGGAGGCGTTTTTTAACACAGATGGAACATGATGGAACAGAGATAATCCAACGTCCTGTGCAAGGTTTCGTCCAGCAATGTCTCCAAGAAACTCTCCAAGAAACTCTCGTAAGACAGAAGAATGATAGTCACACAAGTCCAGGAGCATTTACAGTAATGATTTCAAGACGAGGTTCGTATGACGTCCAGGAGCTGTTTCAAAAGGATTGCACAAAGTTTCTCCAGCAACAGCATTCCATCGGAAACCCGGCTCCACCCAACATCTTTAACTTTGTTGAGCTGGTCCAAATCTTGGCATCTACGGACGTTGCACAGAATCCGTTATTCCTGCAGAGACTCCACCGCAAGCCGGGCCCATCCGGTTCTCAGCGCGAAAGTGCCCCGCAGTGCCCTAGGTCAACTGGGAGTTCTTCCCGAAGGTGCCGGAACTGCCCCGCATTGCTTCTGATCTGTTACTTTTTCAGGTGGCTTCACTTGAAGGTTTCAGACCATGTGCGGCACATGTCAAGAGAAAAAAGAAACACACAACAGCAACCTAGTCTTGCCATCAAAGTAAAGGGGCAAAGAGTCATATGAGCAATGTCTATATAGAAGGAGCTGAGCGACCTGCAGCTGGCTGCATCCCCTTCCAATCAACCGAAAAAACATCAGGGCCTGGTTGAGAAGGGCTTGCCACCCGTCTTGGTGTACTTTAAGGAGCAGCTGAGGGCCCAGAAAGTATCTTGGGCAGAGTACAGACCAAGAGTTGTTTCAGAAGGACGCAATGGTCAAGATTCCGGCCATGCCGCAGCGTCAAACGCGGTGGGTTTCTTGTTCCTCTAAACACGGAGTTGGTGTCCTTTCAATTGGATCTGGTGTCCTTGCACATCTGAAAGATCTTCGCCAAGTCACGGCAATCTGCCAGCAGATCCGACCGGCCACCGGTGGTGTTTCACCACTGTTCAATTGTGGTCAGTACAAGACACTCCAACATAGGAGACCTATCATTGTAATATTAGATGTGCATGGCAATAACGAGACCCACCTACTCTTAGGTTAATGCTCATTCCTTTTGCGAGGAGGTCTGGGTGAGGATCTCAATTTGGATCGCTTTGATGTCAGTAGCGGCAGCATGCGGCCACGGTGTACTGGTATCATATATCCACTCACTCATCTGGAGTGGATCCTCAAACTATCACTGCCATTGGTGTCCAGTGAGGAATCTTTAGGAAAGGTTCTGAGGCCAAGAATTGAAAACATCTATGTCGTTTGCTTTACCCAGAGTTTTGGGTCAGTTTGTTTGGCTTGAAACCAATTGGGGGTGTTGCGGGGGCACCGATATGGTTTTTAGCATTTAGAAGATCATCTCCGCATTTTGCCGAACATGTGTGGCTTCAGCATCGGGGAAGAACGCAGCAGCAGGCTGCGGTTGTTCACCGCATGCTTTGCGAAAATGTGCTGATGATAAGTGAGGGTGGATCTAGGGAAGTGATCTAGTTATAATCATATCATGTATCAGGAGAAAGGTCGGATAAGGTCGGATCAAAAGGTTAGGAGAATGGTCACAGACAGGAAACCTGCTCCGATCACCATTCGATTCACGGCGGACCCGTGCGGTTTGGTCAAGCAGAGGAACACCCGGCTTCTTCACCGGCCGATCGGTGGTTCAGAAACGGTCATGTTCGGTGGTGTTTTCTGTTTGGGATGCTCCACCCAAAAACGGATGGGATCCATCAGAATAGGTTCGGAAGCTATGAATGGGTATTATTTCTTGAGTCCAAATTGACTCTCAAAGCCACTCGACCAAGCTGCATCCACTTGGAAATGGCCTCAAACACCCATTGTCCCCTCAAGGTTCATGTCCAGTACTGTGGCTTTGGTGTGCAACCGAACGGCTGACAAGATGTCGTTTACAATGTTTTAAATCTTTTAAAGATCCTGTTGCCTTTATTCATTAAAATAGGATTTCAAAGGGGCTGTGCCCTTTGACCAAAGCTTAGATGTCATTTGCTGGGTCGGGTGGTCCTCAACAACCTGGGCCAAGCATGGCCAAGCAGGATTAAGACAAATGAGCTGAGCCGACGAGTGGGGTGACGTATATTTACAGGACTTCGAGTGACAAGTTTGGTCAGACTGCCGAACTTTGCAGGAGACTCAGACACCTTCATCTGAATGGAACACAGGTGGGCCGCGGGCAAAGTGGAAATGTGGTAGAGCTGAACGCCAAGGGGGGTTAGGAGGGCCTTACTACTATATAGTAGCAAGAAGCTAGTAGGTGGAGGCCATCGCTACTAGGAACAAGAAGCTACTAGTAACAAGGCAACTGGTCCACGGATGCCCACAGTTCAAGATAACTGTAGGTACGATAGAGTCAGGCAGAATCGCTGGAAAGTATAGATCCTTTTGTCCATTTCACACCTTACAACCATGTTGCTTTTCTTTATATAAATGCCATGCGTCGAGGCCCTGGAGCTGCAGCCAACTCTGAGGAGGTGACCACGATGGATGCGGAACAAGGGGGGCGGCGGCGCCAGAAACCAGTTGGATGGGGATTGGAATCGGATGGAATGCAGATCCAAAACACCATAGAACAATATAGAACACGTGAATAATTGGTACATAATTGGATTGCTGGTTTTTGTTTGTTAGGATCTCTCACACTGGTCGCCTTTGGTCACTATGGATTGACCTCTTGGTGTTCAGATTGATTGGGTGGCCAGAAGATTGGGATGATCAAAGCATATCACAGCTTTTATAGCAGTATAGAGCAATTGGTTCCAAAACCCTCGACCATCTGTAGGGAAGCGGAGAATTTTGTGTGGTTGGACCCCACAGTCATTGGAGCGACCTGGCAGTCATAAAGCTGAGTCTCAGTTCTTAAGTCTTCAGTTACTGTAGCTGATAAATTCTTTATGCCTCCACCCTAAAAGCGATGGCCTCCACCCTAATAGCGATGGGCGAAGGCCTCCAACCTAACCATTTGCAAACCAGTGTCCTTGAAGATGAGCCGATCCGATGAGCAATGTATGTCCTGGGGGCGACAGGATCATTCCCACACCACTCGATGCGGTCTTTACGGTCTTCCAAAACCGGCAGTGAATTTCGAGATGTTTCACCACACTTGATTCATCAGCACACCAGTCACCACCCGTCATCAGTGAATCCATGTGGAGAACTGAAGAGATACGGCCGCATCGCTACGGATCGCGAGAGCCAAAACAGCCGATCTGCCAGGCGATGGCGAAGGGCGCCAAGCCGGGCCAGGTGCATTTCTTCCCGTGCATTTGCGATGCCCAGTGACTGGGCTTGATGGTCTTCACGTGGCATATTTGGGTTTTGCTTCATGGGTGAATGCTGAGACCTTAGTAGCGTCCTTGTTCCTAGTAGCAATCAAAGACATACTAGTAGCTTATTGTTACTAGTAGCTTCAAAGACCGTTCCTGGTAGCGTCCGATCGCTCCTATTGGCCCAATCCCAGGCAGATCAAGGCTGAGTTTGAGCGCCGGGGCTGCCAAAAGATCAGCTGAACCACTGCGGCTGGTGTACCCAGTGCGATCGCCGATCGCTGAGAATCGAGTGCGAGAGGTGACATGAAGAACAGGTCAAATTCGAAAGACCCACCAGGGGCGCTCACACACCAACCAGTTCCTTTATGACCATAATATTTTTGAAGTGGACCTGATGAATAAAGGCCCATCCACAGAGAACCATCAGGTCAAGCACCCGGTCAATTGATGTTTACCTTTTATAGGTTTTTTTTGACATCTATAGATATATAATGGTTGTCTAGTTATGGGGATGGGTCAAAACTTGGAGCTCCTAGCTCAAAATATACTCTGGCTTCCGCCCGGTTAGCCTTTCAAGCATTAGTTTGCCTCAGCCCTTCTCAAAAACCCTGAAAGAGTCCATTCAACGGCTGACATTCTGAACCTCAAAGAAGGCAAAAACATGGAAATCAGGACATATCATGACCAAGATCTCAACGCTGGTATTCGCGGTGCTTGGGGTCTCTGACAGGGCCAAATGTGCGTAAAGCTTTTGTTGACCTTGCGTGGAGCTCCTGCCACTCTAGTCAGTCTTTTGTCTTGCTTTTGGCCTAGAAGGGGCACACGGTAAGAAAGCCTTGTGACAAGGACCACTTGAGGGACCAGTGGAGAAGCAGACCCCAGACCAAATCCAGGCCTGCGCCTAGAAAACTTTGACGTCTTCTCCGAGAAAGCAATAAAGAACTTCAGCGCTCCAAACATGTTCTTTTCTTGTCGGCCCTCACCATATTTATAGAGAAAATCTTTATAGAACATGTCTTCTAATGTCAGTTTCGTTGGTGCGACGGCACCACCGACACCGCCGAGAGCGGACTCCTCCCGAACAGAGTTCATGTCGCCAGCCTCTCCCCGTTCAGGTTCAGGGTCCTGGCCCAGTGTTGGCAATCTTATCCTACTAGGAGCAAGAAGCTACTAGGGGCTCCTGGCCTTACTACTAGGAGCAAGAAGCTACTAGGGGACTCGTTCCTGGTGGTCACCACTGCCGCATCGTGCTTTGTTTCGCGCCGCGGGCCTATTAGCTGGGCGCCTTCGCCGGACAGCCGGCAGCACAAAGACTCGTTTGGCATTTAAAAAAAGGGCGCGATTGGAGGGACCGATGGGGATGCCGCCAGATGGACGCCCGATGTGCAACATTCGTGACACTGAAGGGACCGACATGGACTCTGGGATGGTTCCAGCACAGTGGGACCTTTGTTTTCGACCATCCTGGAGTAGATAGAGTTTTTGAAAATCATGACCAGTTTCCTAGTCGTGTTTGAATTTCCCCGTGTTCCATCTTCTCCAGGATGGCTATCTATATGCTATTTATACTATCCGTTTCCAGCATGTTGTGATGGAGGTGTTTTTGTTTGCTTGCCGACCAACTATTTTTGTTTGTGCTGGCTTGTGGCTCGCAGCTCACGTGAGAGTTTAAATCATGAACTTCAGAGCATGCGTTGAGTTCCCAAAATTGTGCCACAGACAGTGGAAAGGCAACCCCCCATGGGACAAGCTAGAAGTTATGCCCAGTTCAGCTCTATATGCACATGCGATGGGCAAGATGTTCGCGATACATCTTGCGTTAGCTAAGAACTGAACTATACTTAAATAGCATGGCATCCAAAAAACAATCAAAGAGTGTTTAACAAGTTCCTGTTTGCCATGGGCGCAGTGCATGAATGAGTCCGGCGCCTAGCTTTGGAGCCCAAATTGATGACTTGACTCACAGCATGTGTTTCTGTACATAAAGTTTCTGTTTGGCCTGGCTTTACCAAGGAGGGCTTCCCCGGCCTTCCCCATCCCCTGACCAGTCTTGAGCCGTCCTTGGTTGGTGAAGCTTCAACCCTACGGACCCAACCCCAGGGGGCGGGGATAGCGGTCTCACCCGTGGCCTTCCTCCCTGCAGTCCCACCCGATGCAAGGCTCCGAGTCAAATGCGCGACGCCTCAGTGTTTGGGTGAGAGCTTACTACTAGTAAGGCCAGGAGCCCCTAGTAGCTTCTTGTTACTACTAGTAAGGCCAGGAGCCCCTAGTAGCGTGTTCGTATTGTTGATTTGAGATGTTTCTTTTTGTGCTATTGCTGCACTCTTTCGGGCACCCCGCATAATTAGGTCTTCGATCGAACGTGGCGGATTCCAGCATCTTAGTATATAAATGGGTCAGGAAAAATTGAAGGAAAGGGAAAAGCCCAAAGATACACCTCAGGCGACCAGGGTCTTTCTGCGACTGTCGAGGTGCCTCCGCGATTCCCTCCCATCCGCCGGGTCCTGCGGCCACCCCAGACCTGCTGTTGTTCAGATCAGAGGAATACTTTATGTTGTTTGTTGTTTTAATTGTTTTATATAATTTGGTTTGTTGTGTTAGCTTCTTTAATTGGTTTGACTGTTTTTGAAAATGCTAGCTCAATATATTGTATGTTGGAGATTTGTCCCGACTGCTTTCGATGTCATTTTTGTTCAACGGTCACACTCCAGGTGGGACCGCACACCATCGGGCCCACCACAGCGTGTGCCACTGCTGGCCTTTGCGCCCAAAATTTGCTTGGCGACCAAGTGGTGCTTAAGCGCACTGGTGGCTGTTGAGACAAAGCACTCGTGGTTTTTGTGTTTATTTCAATCAACCTCTTTCTTTGTTGCATGACTTCTGAAGATTTGTCAAACAATTACTAGTCACATTGTGCATTGTACTTTGAAGCGATTACTCTTTAGCCATGAGTATCTATCGAATTCTGTATCATAAAAGCAGTCAGTTCTTAGTAGTAAAGGTTCTATCGACTCTTACACATCCCACGTCAATGCCCAGTATTTGACAGACCCACAGGAACCCCCACTGGACCAAGCGACCCGAGTCTCGGCCTTCCCGGCGCCTTGCCTCCCCGGCGCTTGGAGTCGACTGGTGGGCCTGAGGCTTGGGTGCTGCGGCCCATGAGTTGGCGCGCCAGGCAAAGGAAGCGAAAAGCCGGGGGAACCCGGATACCGAGAGTCTCACGGAACAAAACAATACACGGATGAGACACCCAAGACAAAGCTGGATTCCTCAACGCAACTCGCTTCTGTGGGTATGGAAGGGGAACTTCCTTGAGCTATAGTAGGGTTTTCTGATAGGGATACAAGGTTGAATTGTCGGCTTTGATCAGATTTCTATAGGTTTATTCGACCACAGCCACGAAGAGTCAATGCCCCATGTAGATTTGTTGTGAGATGGGTACGATATGTTATACTATACATACTATACCATAATCTGACTGCATGTATCAAACCAGTAGACCAAGACAGAGGGCGGGTGCCCCGGGTGCCAATTCTTGACTGGTGTGTGCATGTTCCTTGCAGACCCAATGTCCGATGAATTCATTGGACGATCTATATAGATGTTTTTCGCTTCATCTTAGCCAGGGCTGCCGAAACACCAAGGTCGGCCCAAGGCGCAAGGGAACAGGGTGGGCGGCGAATGCTTCCCGGGACCCGTTGGGGCGGTGTTCTTGGGTGGGGGTTGAGAGGAACAGGTCACCGAAGGGTCTGCGGAGGTGTGCCTTTCTGACCCTATTTGAGCATTTGAACTTTGGCACTTCAATACGTTGGAAGATTTTGGGGGTGGCCAAGGAGCAAACACCAGGAGCAAGATTCAGCTAGAAGTTTCAGATTTCACACAGCAGTTTGTGGAGAGGAAGGAAGCTGAAAGAAGGCCCGCCCAGCCCCGCAGCCTATAGGCATCTTGGCTTAGAGACCTTATGAGACCTCCCCACATGCGCAGCCCAGGGCAACATGTTCATCTCATGAAAAGATGAACTTTGGACAATCTTGCACTGTCATTGCCCAGTTCTCATCGAGGTCAACCGATGTTGCTTTCATTTGCGGAGAAGACTGCAGACGTGTTCTTGTTCACCAGACCGATATATATATATATATATATCGAGTATCTACAAGCCACCCAGCTTTGAACTCTCGTCACCTCCGAAAGGCTCAGAGAAGCTGAAGGGTTTTGACTCTTTGCTTTTACATATCTTTTTGCAGATCTAAAGGCTTTTACCGCTTCATGTACTGAAGGCTTCATGTACTTCTGCCGCAAACCTCCCACGTGGGACGGCATCGCTCGCGACGTCCGATCCGAGCTGCTCGCCGCTTTCTCATCCCGTAGCTGCTGCGGGCCGCCATGGCTCTCCGGGGTTTGGCACAGGTTGATGACTTTGACATACGGTGGCTTGGTCGGAAGGTGACCGGCAGGACTCGTCCAAGGTCCACACTGGCTGCATGAGTGGTCACTTTGGGAGGCATCGAACATGGTGGAACCCATGTTCAGGGATTCTTGCTCAGGGTATTACCTCCATAGTGATTGAAACAGCTGTGTTTGATACCACTAGCCTACAAAATCTTCAAAGGTTCCTGCAGTGTTGTCTAGCGGTGCAGATCAAGGACCACGGTATTTTGACCGTGCTGTTGACCTAGAACTTCTTTTCAACAGAGGAGCATCCCCACGAGTATTGAGAGAGGTGTTTGAACTCTGAGACCACAGGTGGCAGCATGCCAGAGCCTTCAAGCATATGATTGAGAGCCTGCAGAACAGCTCCGACGAGCAGGAAGACAGCTTCCATAACGTCGCAGAGCCCATCGAGAGTTGATCGCACCGTCGTTAGGGTCACCGGCTGACGGGGTTGAGGTGTATGGTGAGGTCTTGGGGCTGGGTGAATGGTCCTGTTCATGGCTGTCACCTGCTTGTTTGACCTGAAGATGCTCACGGAACATCTAGGGAACATTCATTGGACACGTAATATCAAAGCATTTGTTTGATACTTTTTTGCGTTGGGGAGAGAGTGCATTGGGGGAGCCAAATGAGAGTGCGAGTACGGCTGTTTGGCTAGTAGCTCAGTGCTTTACCACTAAAAACAAGATATAGTGACAAGGGCATCTCCACTCCCTGACTTAATGATGGAAGTGGACAACAGACCCCTGAAATAATATGTTTCTACAAACAGGTGGTGTTCCACTTCCATGTTATCATGTAATGTT